TATATTTATTTTCTCACTGGGGAGGTGTTTGCCTTTCCCTGCTTGGCCTCCAAGTCTGCAGACCTGCTGCTTTGATGTTTTCTAGCAAACTGCAGAGGAAAAGCAACATTAACGCTGCATTTATCCACATATAGCCTGCATGCTCATTGATCTGGGGGTGGGGCTTTCAGAAATGTATCTTTTTTTAAAACAATTTGTCATTAAAGATCAGGCAGTTGCGACAAAAAGAAAATTCTGTTAATTCCTTTCAATTTTTAACTTCCCAATAAAATACATTTTCTTCTGTAGCTATAAATATATATTTTTTCCAAGGCATGGGTTATAGTATTCACTAATTTAAATAGAATAGAAGAAAAAAAATCCCTTAATTGTCCCACAATTGGTAATTCTGGTGTTTACAGCAGCAAAATCGTAATAAAAAAAAATGGTCACACAAATGCAGACCTTAGAAAAATGTATAAGAATCACATAGTGAAGAGTTAAAAGATAAAGAATAGAATACTGTACTGTAACGTGTTTTATCGATATGAAACTGCACCTGGAAAATTAAAAGTCCACTCTGTTGAATCTGAAAGAATAGGCTGCAGATGTCAAGAAATAAGAGTAGGACTAATTTTATGCAAATGTAAATGTAAACTGGAAATATGGCTTTATCTTTCAAGGACAGTCCATGATGCTGAAATATTTGGTCTATACAAGGAGAGATGAAGCAATCAGGTGTTAGTCTGTGCCAGATGTGAGCTGTGAAAACTCAGGAATTGTTTGAGTCGTCTCCATGTACCTGAGTGTTGGTGAAGAAACATTGGACACTCTGCAAATCTGATTTTAGTAACATAAGAATACAGAAAAGAAAAATCTATTAAATGTTATTTAATAGGAGTATTTCTGAATGAATGGACATAATACATACAGGTTATCCTGGTTTATGAATCAGTGCATGCATCCCAACCCTTTATGTCATTTATTATTGATCTATTAAAGTTTTGAGTTTGATAAAAGCTTATGTACTCAGCTTCTACTAGTCTGTTTATTTGGATCCAGCTTCCCTGCAGCAGAAGGTGGTTCAGCTCAGGGATTAACACCTTAGGTTGTCTCCTTCAGACAACGCTGAATATGAAGTTAGAGCACTACTGGTCCCTGCTGGTCCATGATTGAGTGAACTGTCTGTTTGTGGACACAGCTCACAAGTGACCTTCTTGTGTGAGACATGCCTCCACTAGTGCCCACTTACCCTCTGAGTAGGGGGTCCCTCTCCCCTGTCACTCACTCTTGTATGCCTTTTTCATTTTTTTCCTTTTGGCCTGCCCTTATGATCTTTAAGGCTCTCCCAGTGATAGCCAGCTCACTCTCTCTCCCCTTATTATTTTTCCACTTATCCCATTGTTCCTTGTTGCTCCTTTCCTTTTTATCTGCTGTCATCTTAGCTCAACAGCTAAGGTGACATGCCTGTAGGATAGTAACCCCTTTTCCTTGTTTTCGTGTCTGTCTGTCTCCCTTTCGCTATCTTTCCATGCCGTATTCCCTGTCCTGTGCACGGCTTTGGCATTGCAGGGATCAGTTTACATGGCAGCAGCTGAGGCAGGCTTCATTTGTCCCAGGGCTTCCCTCTGAAAAGGCATTTTTCACCTCTGGAGAATTGCTCACTGCCCACAGTGACATTGAGTGCTTAATTGCACTACCTCCAAATTTGGAAGTCTTGATCTTTAGTGGCAGTCCAAGCTCTTGAACTCGATGTACTGTGTTAGCTGGGAGGGTTGTACATTCCTTTAGGTATAGATATGTGGCTCAGAGAGAAGCAGACTGTTTCTAATTCTAATCTAGTCTATATTCTGAACCAAACACTGCAAAATCAGAGGACTTTCATTGATGTTTTAAACAGCCACACCTTTAATAAGGATTAACATGTTTGCAAACAATGTCTGATTTGAGCAGTGATTTCCTGATATCCTATTTACCAATTTTGATTCCTAGTTTTAAAAAGCCTTTAAAACCTCCCCTTTGCTTTTTTGATGCATTGAGGAGAAAAATTAACATGGGCAAATGTCAAGATGACTGTAAATAAATAGCTTTATTATGATTATGCAGGGAGTATTACAGATTATATGGACACTGCAATGTAATTAGGACAGGTAAGGAAAAACAGGAAAAAGGGGAAAAGATG